TATCTATCTATCTATCTATCTATCTATCTATCTATCTATCTATCTATCCATCCATTCATCCACCCATCCATCCATTCATCACATCTATCTGTCTATCTATCCATCCTATCTATCTATCTATCTATCTATCTATCTATCTATCTATCTATCTAATAAGTCCCCACCCATCATTTATTCATGTGGAAAATACTGTAGAGCGTCAGAGTTAGACACTGTTTTCCAGGCGACAGAGAACTACAGGGCAGATATTTCAGGTCCACAGGAGGAATATGAGACCCTCTGCTCCCCTTGCAAACCAAGCTGTGGAAATCCTGTGTACAGTGTGGCTATGAGTTGGAACTGACCAGACAACACATAATAACAACAACTTTCCCCTGGCTCCTGCCCTGTCTCGTCTACTCCTTCCAACATTGCTTCTATCCTTAACTCTCAGTCAAGCCACTGGTCTTCCCACAAGCCCCATACTTTCCCAGTCTTCTCTTTCTCTGCAGTCCCCATCCCTATGTGTCTAAAGAAAATTCAGTTCACTTTAGTAGGACCTTAGGATTTTTCCTATGAATCCCCCAAATGTATTATCCCCATTGTCCTCTCATGATATATATCACGTTCTGATATTGATCATTATTAATAATGATCTGTTGGTTGTCTTCTGACAGTGTTCCATGGCTATTCATAACGTTTTCAGTGACTAAATATTTGGAAGGAGTCAGTCTCTCCTTCTTCCTAGTCTGTCTTTGTCTGGAAGCTCAGCTGAAACCTATCCACCATGGGTGACCCTGCTGGTATTTGAAATATCAGTGGCATAGCTTCTAGAATCTCAGCATCACACAAGTCACCACAGTGTGACAAAAAAGTGTTGTCTTGTCTTCGTCTAACTCTTTTGAGCCCAACGACCATTCTTTACATACTCTGGTGGCTCTGATAACAGCAGCTAACTTCTCTTGGGTGCCTGCCACACATCAGACATGGGTCTAGTGGGTTACATGTACAATTAATTATTTTTTTATGAACAAACTAAATGCGGCGCAAAGAGGTAGTGACAGTCTAAGGTCAGAAAGCTGCCTTGACATTCAGACCCAGGCAGTGAGGCCGAGGGTCATGCTCTTCATCTCTAGAACACACCATCTGCCATGGTATCATGGGCCATTGAGGGATGAGATAGGGAGGCCCTACACTCACCCCAAGCCTCGGGATGAAAGGGCAGGAGACGCCCCATGGGAAAGGGTAGCACCCTCAGAAAGAGGTCAGGTTTCAGCTGGATCCAGCAGACATGGGGGTTTCACTGGGGAATATTGTCATGGTGACATGATGGGGAGCAGACACTTACGAAAGTCATGGTGTCTCTGTCCAGCGTCTGATACTGACACTCCACCAGTAGCTCATCTCCCTGTTGGGGTGGAACAGGTATACAGAGTCATACATACCTGCGGGATACAGCTGGTTATATTGAGCTCCTTCATGGAGTCCTGGGGTGGTGCTGTGGGATAAAGCACTGGACCACAAGTTTGGTTTGAACCACAATGTCGGTGGTTCAAACCCACCAGCCGTTCCTTGGAAATCCTAAATAGTGTCACTATGAGTTGAAACCAACTCAATGACCCTTAACAACAACAACAACTTGTCCTCAGGCTTCCTCAGGTTTAGAGTCTTGGTGTGGCATTGTAGGATAAGCACCGGACTGCTAATCACAACGTTGGTGGTTCAAATCCACCAGCTGCTCCTTGGAAACCCTATCTTGTTGCTACGTGCTGACAAATAGCAATCCTGTATAGGGTTTCCAAGGTGGGTTAGCAATCCAGTGCTTATCCTACAGCGCCACACCAGGACTCCTGGAAATCCTCAGAGCCAAGGAGAGGGCACTTAGTAATGATAACAACCAGATTTAGCAGCGCTGCCCCTGGCTCCGCCTGCCCACTTCTCACAGTCTTGATCTCCAAGCGCTCAGGTAAATCCCGAGTCTCCTGTAGGTTGAAGTCATAGGCGTCGTCTTTACAGATGGTTCGCAGCTGGGATCCGTTTCTAGAAGGATCAAGGGAAGGGGTCTGCTAATACAGGTGGAGTGGGTGGCTCTTTCTGGGGGTGCAGCGTGCCCTGAAATATACAAGCTCTTCCCCACAGCTTCACCCTCTGTCGCCTGCGCTCTAGGGACAGAACTAGCTCCCCCAGGGGGGTATATCCTTATGCTGTAGAACAGATACCTGCTGCTCACATGCGTTTGGCACACGGAAGGAAGATTCCAGCTCGCCCCTTACCTGTACTGTACTGTCTGCAGAGCCCGGCCTGCCAGGTGAGTATGAAGCAGGTAGCCATACACCTGGATGTCGGGTACCGGGGCCCCGTTCATCTGTAACAGGGAGAGAGCACACCTGTTTTGCTAAGAACGCTGGTCCGGATCTGCCCGGGCTTCCAGCCCAGGTATAGAACACCAACCCTTGACGGTGCTGTTTCTCACCCCTGGATTCTCCCCCGATCCTTTTGGCTCCTCCTGGGGACCCCCCAGCCCCGATTCTCACCCTGTGGGTATTCTGTGCTCTTGGGGCTCAGGCAGGTGGGTCCGGACCAGTGTGTGTTGCCTCCCCTATCCCCAACTCACCTCCTCGAACTTCTCGGTCTTGCACAGCCCGTAGGACAGGAAGGACTGGGCCCCCGGGGGGATGAAGTGGATGGGGAAGGTGAAGAAACCCAGCTGGAGGACACCCATGTCGTATCTGCGCAGCCGTGGGCTGTAGTACACACGGATCCCGGACGAGTCGTAAATACCTGCAGCAGGAAGGAATCGTGGCAGCAAGCGAGGCCAGGAGAGTCAGGAGGGTGAGGGGGTCCCTGCCTCATCCCTAACCACCTTCCCATGCACACAGCACCCGGCTCCAAACAAGTCCCTCACCAGGGAGATTGTGGAAATTGCTGTAATGAATCTCCAGCCGAATCCATTGGGGGTCCCGTGGGGTCCCGATAGAGATGCCCACATCATCCGGGAACTGGTAGCTCTGTTGGAGGGAGGTAGAGGGAGCCCAGTGCCGGCCCTCCCTCCACCCAGCCATCCCGGTGACCCGCAGCGGACACCCCACCGCGGACTCACTGTGCCGCCGACCGCCCAGCCAACAATGACTTGGGAGCAGAGCGAGAAGGCCGGGTCCGCTCCATAGCAGTCGCTGATGCCGGTGGGGAGGGCGCTGGCGTTGCCGCAGGCATACACTAGGATGTGGTGAACCATACTCTCGTTGTGGTCGATCAGTTTGGGTTCAAACTGCATGAGGAGGGGCCGGCACTGTGTGACACCTTCACCCCACTCCTCCGGCACCCACCCTCCCCAGCTACCAGGTCTCCACCCTACCCTCCCTTTCCCTCTCTTCTTCCATCTCCGGTTTCTCTCCCACGTATCCACCCACACAGAATTATCATTTCTACCCCTCCATCTGACTCTTCTCCCAGCCCTACCACTCTAACCTGGTCCCGAGAACTATGTGCCCAGTCCCTCAGTACCCACATCCTGTCTCACTGCCTTCCAACAGGATGCCAAGACTTTCTGCTTCTCTTAAGAAAGTAGCTCAGCTCCCTCACACTTGCTACTTCTTGAAAGATAAGTGACCACCCAGAGGCCTTTGGAAGAAAGACCTGGCCATCTCCCGGAGCACACAGGGGGTCATCATGGTAAGATAATACTTTGTCTATTTGATCTAAACTGACATAGGAGCTTAGGGGACCACATCTGAGTCCCTCTGACCTGACTCTTGGCCATGCAGTCGGGTTGTGTCCCCTCCCTGCCTTCACAACAGCCCCCAAAGTCCATTCTCAGGCAGGACAGGGCTATGTCTTGCTCTCTGCAGATACTTGTTAATGACCTGCCTGCCTGCCTCCAAATCTCATGTCACTGTGAGGTGTGGGGACTGTGCTGTTGGCCATGATTCTGTGGTGATTGTGTGCTCTCAAGTCAACTTCAACTCATACCAAACCTCTGGGACAGAGTAGAACTGCTAACTGAAAGGTCAGCCGTCCAGGCTCACCAGCAACCCCATGGACAATCTGATCCTACAAAGATGATAAAGATGATAAAGATGATAGCATTCTTCCACGGGGCTGTTGGTGGGTTTGAACTGCCGACTTTTCAGTTAGCAGCTGAGCGCTTAACCACTGTATCACCAGGATTCCTTAACATACTGATGTTGTTGTTGTTGTTAAGTGCCTATGAGTCAGTTCTGACTCATAGTGACCCTGTGTAGGGTTTCTGAGGAGCGGCTGGTGGGTTTGAACTGCCAGCCTTGTGGTTAGCAGTTCAGTGCTTATCCTACAGTGCTACACCAGGACTCCAACATAGGGTTGCTGTTGTTAAGTGCCGTTGAGTCTATTCGACCCATAGTGACCCTGTATAGGGTTTCTGAGGAGCACCTGGTGAGCTTGAACCACAGACCTTGCAGTTCAAACGTCTTTGCAGTCTGGCACATTAACCCACAGTGCCACACCAGGACTCCTTAGGAGCTTGAATCCTATACTCTCCAACTCATATCACTATGGGTTCTACCAAACCCTCCTGGCTTCTCTGCCCAGCGACTCCTCCAGCCCTCCTTCCCAGCCATGCTCCAAGCAGCGTTTATCAATTCTCAGCACTGTCCCCTGCATTTCTCCCCGCCCATCCTGCTCAGACACGGCTGCTGTCCAGTACCCCGCACCTTGTGGATGTGATGTTTCTTGCTTACGATGGGCAGAGGAAGGAAGGTACAGGCGTAGGTGGTGTCATCTTCTGGAATGAGGAACTGGGGAGGGTATCAAGGCTGAGCTGGGGGAATGAGGTTCCCGGAGGAACCAGAGAGAGACCCATCAGGGAGGGGATTCTCCTTAGGGCTGATTAGGCAGTTCTCAGGGACTAAGGCCCCCCTAACAACTTACAGCTTCAGAAACTGTATACAGGGTCTCTATGAACCAACTCGATGCACACTACCACCAGGGGCAGAGCTAGGTCAGAGTAACCTCAATCCAAGCGACACAGAGAAGTATAGAATACGGTGACAGAGAGGAGCCAGACTTGAGTGGGAAGACTGACAGGAGCTGAAGGAGGGTCGTGGAGGGCGGGGGGTCCTACATCAGTGATCTCCAGGTCGTGGATAATAGTGTCCTCAGGGACTTCAAGGTCATCGGGGTGGATGATCTGCAGCAGGAAGATGGACTTGACAAAGATGTGATCCCGGTCCAGCTTCAGCGTGTCATCCTGGCCATATGCAGCCAACACCCGCACAGTGTCACTCTGGGGAGTTGAGACAGTGAGGGCTGCAGAACTTGGCACACCCACCCACAAGCCTTGCAAGCCCTCTGTACCATGTGATGAATGACTTGACTAGTCATCAGGGTACCTGGGGTCTAGCCTCGGAGGCTAACTTGCTGCTGATGTTGAAGGTGCAATCCCTTTTCCATGCCCTCTATGCCTGCGCCCACATATGGAAAATGAAATGGTACAGCCAAACTCTTATGTTCAAACATCCTCAGTTCAATGGAACCAGGAAAGACTCTTCAAGTTCTATACCTCCTGCCAGAGGGAGCTCTGGGAAGGGTGGAGTGGATGCTGAATCAGAAATGATCACCCTACAGAAGACCCCTGGGTTCCTGGAGGTGGCATGATTGGGTAGTGCCTGGGAAGGCTGGGAGGGATGGGTCTGGCTGCCGGAGATACAAGGGTATTTCCAGGTTTCAGGTGACCCCATTCTTGCTCCCCATTTTACCGTGATGTCGTGGTCGTGGGGATCACAGGAGCGGAAAGGTCTGGAGAAACGCATGGTGGTATAGACAGCGTCTTCTGTGAGTCCCAGCAGCTCCGCATCCTGACTCCCGTCCTCCTCCAGGGTGTCTTCATCCTTCAGGTGCTGATCCTGGAGTCCAGGAAGCCCAAGGATCAGAACCAGAAGCCCAGTGGTCCTACTTTTGTGGCAGTAGGCACCCTTCCAATGCTTCCAGGTGCTAATGTAGCAGAACTCAAGTTTTCCTTATATGTGTCGGGTCCTCCCAGGACAGAGCTGATCAAAGGGTGATTATCAGGGATGGACCATGTTGGATGGAGTTTTACTCCTTCCATTTCAAGTCTTCTCTCCATAAATCCTAACCTTCCCGTGGGGGTCCCCACCCTTAAAATCTCACTTGTCTTCTGAGATGTTTGGGCCACTCACCCTTTCTCAGCTGGCTCTTTACATATATCACCTTGTACTGTTAACATGTATCACCTTGTACTATTAATATGTGTCTTCTTGTACTGTTAATTGATGCTTAAGGATGAGAAGAGTAGTTCAGAGTTTTCCTCATCTCAAGTATGGGTCGTTTAGAAGACGGATAAGGTGAAATGAGAGTAATAATATTCTGCCTCACAATGATGCTATGGAGTTTGATGTGCAGTTTACAACACTGCCTGGCCAATCAGAAATGCCTAATATTTTTAAGGTATTCTTTTTCTTCTTATAAGTATTGACTGCCTACTTATTTCTTCTTAGAAGCATGTTTTTGTTGATAAGTGCCATCAAGTCGTTTCTGACTCAGAGCAACCCAGTATAGGGTTTCCAAGGCTGTAAATCTTTGTGGGAGTAGAAAGCCTCGTCTTTCTCCCAAGAGTGGCTGGTGGGCTCGAACCACCAACCTTGTGGTTCACAGTCCAGTGCTTAACCTACAGAGCCACCATGCTCCCTTCTCTTATAAGCATGAATAAAATGAAATGGTTGTTAGACTAATCAAGTTGTCCAGAGACATGGCTGGGCTTAATGGAAATTGAGGGCAGGAACAGTGTTCTCAAACAGCTTTGGCTCTTGCCCAGTGACCTGCATTAAATGGGCTCTTAGATAGTATTGGATTCCTGGTGTGGCGCTGTAGGATCAGCACTGGACTGCGAACCCCAAGGTTGGCAGTTCAAAACCACCAGCTGCTTCTCAGTAACTGTCCACAGGGTCGCTATGAGTTGGAACCGACTCAACAGGTAACAGTAACAACTAGTTCATATTGGGTACAAGTCCCTGTCAGGCCAATGGCTCCATTTTCTTATCAGTCTTGGGACATGGAAGTCTGACAGACAGACCTAGGTTGAAACTCTACAATGGACCACTGTTGAAGGAAGAGACAGGTAAGTCAGAATGTGCTCTGGGAGTGTGCCGGGTCTGTTTGGGGAATGTGGGATCTTCTTCAAGGTAGACATGGATCTGTCCTCCATTGAGTATAGGACCCTTGCCCTGGGCATGGAGTCACCCCAGACTTACCGAGAAATAGACGTTGCCACCAGGCAAGACCCCGCCAACTACCAGATCACCTCCCACGTTGGTGTAGCGATTTGTGACACCGAGGCCAACCCAGCCAGCTGTCTGGACCTGCAGTTCAAATGTGATGACCTCAGCCTCAAGGTCAAAGTCCCAGCGCAGGAACACGTCATTAGATGAATCAAGGAACCTGGAATAACGCAAGCGAGACTTGGGGCCGAGACGGTGGCCTTGGGAAGGGGGAGTCAGGATCAGGAGCAGCCAGAACAGCAGGACACGGGTCATGACTTGAGGGGCCCAGAGGATCTCTCTGTTGTGCACACCTGGAGGGCCTGGACTTATACATGCGTCCAGGCCATGGGGAGGGCGGGCTAGGCACTTCTGAGCCGATTATCCTTTGGGTTCAGGTGGTGCCTCTTACATAACTCAGGTGAGACCTGGCTGCTCTAACTCTGCAGCAGGGGCCTGGCATGCAGTTCCACTCCAATCCTGCCAGTGGGCACCCTGTAGAGCCGAGGGGGTGCAATTTCTCCTTCTTTCCATTTCTCCTCCTGTCTTTCTCCTCCCTACCACCCTCGTGTCTTTGGGCATCCTTCCTGGACACCCTGAATCCAGCATTTGTCTGCCCACCTGGGCTCTCATGGGCACTTCCATTTTGTCCTTGTAGAAGCTCTGGCAGGGGTATGGGTCTGCAGGGAGACCTAGCCTCCCAGACGCCCAGGACAGGGCAGGAAGGAACACAACTGTTAGAAGGAGCTGGGGGAAGGCATGATTTCCATCTCCTAGAGTGTCCTTGCTGCTAATCCCTGGAAGGACACCTAAAGGTGGCGGACACATAATCAGCTTTCTGATGGCCGCATCTAGGGTAGCTTTGAGTTCCGGCATATCCCTGGGGAGGGCGGAGGGAAGAAGAGGCCACAGGAAAGACAAAGGGATGGCAAGAATTTGCCTTTGGCGTGGCCTGTGTCTCACTTTCCTCTTGGAGCTGCCTTTTAGAGAAGGTATAATGCGTTAGTGACCTGCCATCAGGGTGACCCAGCTCCCCTACCTACCAGCCCACTGGAAATTTTGTGGAAACTTCACAACAACAGAAGGAATATTAGTGCATCAGAATAGAAATGAAACTTCCAATCAACTTACTTTCTAGGGTAGGTACCAGAAACACCAGTGAGCTACATAGGGGATGAGGGCACCTAGTGGTCAGGGACAAAGCCCCAGCAAGGACTTCTTTGGTCACAGACCCCAGGTGGTGTCCAGGCCCCACCATGCTTGTCCCCCAGCACAGCTTGCCCTAGGAGAAGTTGGTTTTCTGACTGCATCTCAGAGAGGGGACCAAGGTGTCACTTCACCTGGAGTTCCCCCCTCCACCTTGTGCTCCTTCTTGCTACAGCTGACCAGGACAGATGTCACCTCATCTGATCCCCACCTGCCATTCCTCCATGGGTGGTGAGGATACCCTGAAAGAAGAGTTAGGACGTGCACCCTGAGATGGCCCATGGGGTAGTACGAATATACCATCTGGGTAGCTTGCAGATCCCAGATTCTTCTGAACCCACTGAACCCGCTGAAGGCTGTTTGCTGCTGCTAGGAGTACTGGAGTAGTAAAGGGGTGTGGTGGGTTGGAGAAGGGAGGGAGCCAGGTAAACTGGGCACAGGAAGGGGAACCTGCCCAGAGAGGAGGTGAAGGCAGAGCCTGGGGACAGGGACATCTGACCTTGAGGGACGGGAGGGACAACAAGAGACACTCTGATCCCAATCTCTCCTGGGGATTAGGTGAGTGAGGGCAGGTGGAGACAGGATGGCGACCTTGTAACCTGAGATAGGTCAGGGTCCCCTGTTCTGCTGGCTCCCTCAGGGAACAGGCTAAGTCCACAGGGACAAGCCAGGACAGCAGCTCTGGGTCTTGTCTTGGCCCTCCTCCTCCCACTGACTGCTTGTTTTTTCTCTCTCTTCTCCTTTCTCTCTCCCAGCCTTGTCCCTCAGTCCAGGACAGGGCACATAGTCTACCCTGGTATTCAGCATGTGTGGCTTTTCCAGTACCTCGCAGGCATCCTTCCTCTTTCCCTCTGGAACAATGTGTCTGGAGAGAGAGGGGTGCACCCAGGTGAACCTGAACCTGGAGGTGCAGTCTCCCAGCAAGCCAAACCATTGCTATGCCTTGGTTTGTTGCCAGGAGTGTTGTTGGGGTTGGGGGTCCTGTCCTACATCATGAACTGCCCGTAACTCAGCAGACCGTGCCCTGGGAATGCAGCCTCAACTCAGACATTGCATGCAGTTCAGGAAATGGGATGTTGGGGTGCTTAACCACTCGGCGTCTCCCTACTGTTGGGGAGATGGCAGAAATTGGATCCTTAAATCTTCTTTTCCAGCTCACTGTTTTCTCTGCTTCCTGAACGAATGAGACCCCTTATCAGTGGTAAAGTGTTATGAGAACTTGTGCTTTTAATCTCAGTTGGTTGTTAAGTGATAGGACACGAAAGAGAGATGAAAACCTACTGTGGAATCCATGAATGTTAACAACACAGAAACACGCTCTTACGGAGCTCCTAGTCTGGACCAAACTCTGTTCCAAGGACTTCCATGTGTATACCCATTTACTCCTGAGACAGTTTCTGCTGGCGGCTCCATCATTCAGATAAAGCAGCTGAGGCTGAGGTCATACAGTAGGCAGAGCTTACCAACTCTCAGTGTCTGGGTGACTTGCATTTGAAGCTTATGAAGGCAAGTGTCTCAGTCTACCAGCCTCCCTTGGTTGCACTAAGATATGTGAATTCCCTCACAAAAGATTTGAAGACTTAGATTCAACACTAGTATGTATCAGGAAGTCTTGTCCTGCGTCTCCTGTTTGTCTGTCTGCTGTGTTATAAGCTCCAGTGCACTTTTGTATTAATCTCTGGCAGTTCAAGTCCCTACCAAGAATCCTGCAAAATCAATGGCCTGTATCTCTGTCTGGTGTTGGGAGATGCACAAGGGAGAACAAACGAGGGCAACATTTCACCCAATCTCCAGCCTGAAGCAAGCTCCCCTGACCAGTATTTCCACTTCCGCCATTCCCTGCCAGTCTCCCTCTGCCCGGTAGGCACATGAAACTTGCCACTCGACTGGCTGTCTAGTTCAGTGCAATATAGTTGGGCTTTTTTTTTTTTTCACAAAGTCAACATCAATGACGGATTTGTCAAAAAGAACTCAATACCCACTGCATAAACATTGTTCTCTAAGAGGCATTGGATTTGTCATCTTCATCAAAAGGAATGAAAAGTTACCAGGAACTATCCCAGACCTCAAACCTAAAACCCACTGCCAAGTCAATCCTGACTCATGTAGTACAGAGTAGAATGCGCCTTGGTGTTTCCAAGACTGTAAATCTTTTTTAAAAATTTTAATGTTTTATTGTGAATTATGCGATAGTTTACACGGGAGAACACTAGTTTTACATTCATCCTATGGTATATCATTTCATTGCCATAGTTACAATCCCCTCCATTCTTCATCAACCAACCAAAGGGTATACCCTACAAGCCTGCCACCCCCACCACACACCGGTCATTAGCACACAGTCCCTCTCCTTCTCTGGGTCTAAAGTCCCCAGCTGCTCCATCTCTCCATGTCATCATCTCTGCCTCCATCTCAGGCATCACTGCTTCTCTGGGTAGGGTCCCGCTCTCCGCTCTTCTCCCTTGATGGGCCCAGGGACCTCCGCTCCTAGACTGAAAAGTTAATCACTCCCCTCCTTGCTACAAAACGTCTACCTTTACATTTCCAACCCTTACAATCCAAGACTATAAATCTTTATGGGAGCAGACAGCCTCATCTGTCTCCTATGGAATGGCTGGTGGCTTTGAACTGCTGAACTTGCATTCAGTAGCTCAATTCTTAACCCACTGTATTACCAGGGTTTCTTAATCTCAGCACCTACCCATTATCATCCAGCCCATTCCAACTCAGAGTGACCATATATCGGATTTCTGAGACCATAAATCTTTACATGAGCAGAGAGCTTCAATTTTCTCTCATGGAGTGACTGATGGGTTTGAACTGCCAACCTCAGCGTTAGCAGCCCAATGCTCAACCCCCTACACCAATAAGACTTCTTAATCCCATCACAGGTATGTACAAATCAGAGCCCAGTCAACACCTTAGTCAGTAAAAGCCAGACACCCAAGGAGGCCATTTAGATTTAATTTTGTCCATTCTGGGTCATGTGACCCAGAACTCCCACCATGATGGCTCAGTTGTTTTGGATTATATTTTGAATCCAGGACATGTAGGTAAAGATTCTGGTATAGATACCAACATCTGCTCTCAACACACATCCATCTGCGAAAGCCAGAATTCCATGGAGCGTCCCATTGCAGACGGCTGGGGCAGCTGTGACCTCCTGCAGGGAAAGAGAACACTTGGTTGTGGTTCTGTATGACAAGAGATACAGAGGATAAGGTGGGGAATCTGAGTGCAGTACCTTGCAGGGCAGCCGCCTTCCAGGCACGATGCCCAGGCATAGCATGCTCTCTCGGATGGGGTAGCTCCTATAGGTGTCCTGGCACTGTGTCTTGGGGACCACAGTGATGTTTACCTTCTGCATTGAGTTGGGGTCGTTGTCTACAAGAAAGAGAATGGTCAAACCAGGACTCTCTGAGTTTCCCTAAGGTGGAGATACCAAGCCTACATTTTTCCTTCTCAATCTATTTCTCTTTCCCGGGTAGGGAAGGAGAGACATCAAACACCTGGGAAATGAGCATCCAGGGCACAGGGGTAGAAGAGATCATCAGATTAACACTAACTCCTTATGAAAGTTCTGTGTAAATGGGAGACATCCCTATGACGAAATGAAACGGGTTGCCTTAAAAAGTTTTAGAAGCTTAGACATTTGAAGAGTGCCCTACGAGACTGGACTTTTAGGGTTTGAAGGGACTGAGAGATTTCTAGACTATATAGGGAGTCCTGGCATGGCATTTTAGGGTTAGCCCTGGACTATTAACCTAAAGGTCAGTGGTTCAAACCCACCAGCTGCTCCTCAGAAGCCTTATACAAGGTTGCTATGAGTCAGAGCTTACTCAATGACACTTAGCAACACCAGCAGCTTACATAGGGAGTCCTGGTGTGGCACTGTAGTATAAGCACTTGACTGCTAACTGAAAGGTTCAAACCCACCAGCTGCTTCTTAGAAACCCTATACAGGGTTGCTGTGAGGCAGAACCAACTCAACTGCACTTACCACCACCACCAATAGCGTACATCATGGTGTGACTCTGTAGGATAAGCACTGAAGCGCTAACTGCAAAGTCAGTGGTTCAAATCCACCAGTCACTCCTCAGAAACCCTATATAGAGTTGCTGTGAGTCACTTCTTATTTTTCAGGGAAATTATATATATATCTTATTGCTCAAATAAGCTATGTGTTTAAAACCATACAGCTAACAATTGGCAACACTAGGAGTTTCCTGTCTCTTAATTCAGTATCTTCCCTTTAAAATGCTTTCATTGTTGAGTTTATTCCTGATTCAGAATGACTTTATGAATCCTTCAAATTAATGGTCTACAAGTCCTGTGGGCTGAGCAGGTGCATAACAAAGTTTTTCAAATCTGTAGCCCCCAAAAAACCAAGACCAGCATCACATTTATACATATGGTAGGTGTCCTTGCTGGGGGATCTTCTTCAAACAAAGAAGTACCTTGCTTTAAAATTTTGTTTTTCCAAATGGAGGTGTGCTTAGTTTCAATGTCTTTATTTTCAAATCATATAGAGGCTGACTATGTTGTCTTTCCTCAACTGAAATCAAATGCATGTATCCAGTCAAGAAAGTAAAACCATTGAGATGCTCTGTTTTCCAGCATTTCATCACTGAATAGCATTGTGGTCATCTCTGCAGAAAATGCCCCTGAACTGTTCCATGAGCCCAGTCAAAATAAGTTTTATTTTTTAAGTATTTGTATCTTTTTTAAAAAAAAACAAAAAATAAAAAAAACTGAAATAGCATCATCAGATTAAATCAAGTGTCCTGTTTACCAGAGGAACATTTGACTCTTTCTTAAAATCAAGTTGACTCTCAGTGGATGCTCAATGTCCATTTTTCTTGATATATTCAAGTAAATGTTCCCTAGGACCTGAGGGCACTTACTATGAGCATTAAAGGAGGTTGGTGTCTCTGCCGGATCCTCAGGAGCTTTGCGCAGCTTTCTGGCTTTTATAAACAGGAGCTCAGTAAGGATGGATGAGCCTGGTCTGAGGGACTTGTTTAATATGAACCTCCTTTCCATACAGTGGGGTCTACTACATAGTGTTTATTGAATATACTCAAAGTTACTCATGAATAAAGTTATATTAAAAATTCTCCATATGGGCCTATGTCATGGTTCACAGTCTCACATGAAGAATGTTTAATGTTATTTTATTCATGAGTAACTTTGAGTATATTAAATAAACTGGGACTATACCATGGATGTGTTGTAGGTAACACATCCCCCTTTCCCTGTGCTGACCACATTCTTGATTAATGATGACAAACATTTGATTTGTGTTTACATGAAGATTTAAGGATGGGTTAGCAGGCAGACATGTAAAACTCAGAAAGAAAGCTATCTTAGTTCAAAGTTTTTTCATGGAATTCAAAACATGACATCTAGAAGAAGTCTTTGGCAGAAGAACATTTAAGTCAGCAGTTTCAAGTAATATGCAGAAGACTTCCTGGGTTTTTTTGTTTGTTTGTTTGTTGTGTGTGTGTGTGTTTTAAGTGATCTTTGGTCAGTTTTTTTAAGAAGTGAATTAATGTGTAGAATATATCAATTTAAAGTGCTTCTTTTAGAAATATTTTCCATAAACTTTTAACTATTTATTTCTATTTCGATAATGCATGTGTAGAAAACGTTAACAGACTGAAAAATAGTAGCAGTCTTTGGTCAGTTTTCTGCAGAAATGAGTTAATGCGAAGAATATATCCATGAAATTGCTTCTTTCAGAAATATTTTCCTTAAACTTTTGCCTATGTATCTTTATTACAATCTTGTGTAAGTAAAGTCTGAGTTAGCACACTACTATGGGCTTCTCTTATGTTTAATGCGCTCATGTTTATTTCGTGATATTTCTGGATCTTGTGCTATTTTACTGCCTGAAATAGTTTGCACATATCAGATTTAGTGCTTTGCCCAATTTCAGAGTTAACTCCAAAAATAAAGGGATACTATAACATCATGAATTAAGAATAACATGCAAAGGTCTTCTTTCCACTAACTCCACATCCACAGTGTTTGGAAGTTAAGATGATAGAAACAGAGAGAGTCTGGAGGTCTCTCTTGGTAAGAGTCAGGGTAAGGACAGGAGGCAATGAGAATGAATGAAGAGGTTAGAGGAGAGCCACACAGACTGAGAGGAGAAGGTATAGAAGCACACCTACCCTGAGAGAAAAGGTTCCATCTTGACAGTACTCACAGGTATCACACAGATTGTAGGCCCAGGTAGAGACAGTGCACACAGCGTTATCAGGAACATCCCGGTGGGGCAGGTTTACCAGCTGCACATAGTCATTGAGATGAACCTCTCTTTTCAGTTTGATCAGCATGAGGTCATACTCAATGGAATTGACTGTGAAGTATGGGTGGTGGATCATCTTCTCATACCCAACCACTTGCAGGTAGCGTTCATTGAGGTCTCCTGGGTTTGAAGCCCCTAAGACCACCCTAAGCTTCCTGGAAAAATATGGATGTTCATAAGAGATCTTAACAGAGATGACTTGCCCTTCCTTATGGGCCTTTCTCAACTCCTCCCTGTGGATTTGTATCTCTATCACTTACCATCCCCAAAAGGCCACCCTAACCTCATTCTACTGGGATGTGGTCCCAGCCAAAGGTCTGTGCCCAACCTGTGAACCTCAAGATTAGAGTGGCTGTGAGGTCTGTCACTCACGGTAGGTTGCAATGAGCTGATGTGATGACCCAGAGTGGGTGGACCAAGGCTCCTGAACAGGGTAGGTAATCTGACTTCAGGTAGGCCAAGTAGGGAGGAGAAATGAGTTCCTTTCTGTAATTAGGATTGAAGGCCAATGTAGCTGGGAAGAGAGACAGATATAGGAAAATGCAAATCTGCTGCAAAAGACCTTTGAAATTGTTAAAGTACAAAGATGTTAGTTTGAAGACTAAGGTGCACCTGATACAAGCCATGGTATTTTTAATCAATCGTCTTATATGCATTTGAAAATTAGACAATGAATAATGGAGACTGGAGAAGAATCAATGCATCTGAATTATATTAGAGAACACTGAAAATACCATGAACTGTCAAGGAGAACAAATTTGTCTTGGAAGAAGTACAGCCGGAATGCACCTCAGTAGCGAGGGTGATGAGACTTCATCTCTTGTTATTTGGACGTGTGTTGTTAAGTAGGATCAGTCCCTGGAGAAGTTCATCACGCTTAGTAAAGTGGAGGGTCAACGAAAAAGAGGAAGACACCTAACAGGATGAAGTGGCACTGTGGAAGCAACAATGGCTCAAACACAACAATTGTGAAGATGGCTCAAGACCAGGCAGGGTTTAGGATCACTGTGAGTCAGAACCAACTTGACTGTCCCTAACAACAGTAAGCAAGGAAGGATCCACGGTATTACAACGGCTAAGTGCTTACCTGCTAACTGAAAGGTCAGCAGTTAGAAGCTCCCAATCACTCTATGGCAGGAAGATGCAACAGTCTACTCTAAGGATGGCAGCATGAGAAAGCCTTTGGGGAAAGGGCTAGTCTTTCCTGACGGGTAAGTATCTTTCAGAGCCACCTTGATGGTACCAGGTAAGCAGTGGGGATGCTGAGGAATGCTTAGGTTTGGAACATGTTTAGAAGATAGAACCAACAAGATTTTCCAAATATGAAGTGTACAGAGTGTTTATGGATGATACCAGAGTTTCTGCCTGAGACCCTGAAGCCATGCTCAGGGTAGACATGCCTTTGAAATCCTGCTCCCAATCCCTGCTCCCACTACTCATGCTCCTTCCTCCCCAACATCGGTCCTATTGTAGATGGACATCTGAGAAGGTAGTGAAGATGGATGGAGAGGCAGTCCTGCACCTGAAGTCTGGAACTTTGCGTTCTCATTTTTTTCAGGATTTCTCTTTGGTATATATAAAGAAGAATGCATGGGCACTCACCTGGCAGGTTCATGAGAGTCCAGAAGAGAGTGAACTTCATCATGGTGTCCAAAACCTTCCAAGGGATGAGATTCAGCTCAGGTTTTCAGAATCAGGAAGGATGGAATGGCATAAGTATGTAGAGAAATAAAGGGTCCTGGGATTGAGAGGAAGTATAAGAACCCTCTCAGTGGAAGGACACAGCTCCAGAAGGCATGTTTATAAGGTCAGTAGGGATGGCACCAAGTGTCCAAGGGACCAGAGCCTAGGTCAGATGACTTGGTCTGATCTGGAACAAATGGTTCTGGAATTCAGAGTTTAGCCCTCATTCTTCAACGAAGAGATTACCTAACCTGGAGAAGTGAATGCTCATGTTATCCAGAGCCCTTCCTCTCTGGCTTCCTTTTCATCAAACTCTGAAAGCAGGCCTTTCACTGGGCCACATGGGGGATACTGACCCCTCCTGTCTGTGTGATGCTAGTCCCCATTTTTGTGACACGGACACTTATCTCCACTAGAAACACTGCCTGGTCATCTGAGTTGACCTTTCTCCCTCTGCCTGAATGAAGTCTTCTCATTCAACCCAACCAGCCAGCTAACTGACCAACAGACCAGCTTATTGACTGACTAATAAACCAACCATCCAACCAAACCATTCAACCCAACCAGCCAGCCAACCAACTTAACCAACCAATAAACCAATTAGTAGTACAAGTGTATGTTATGTGGCTAACTTGTGCTCGGCTCTGGGTTTAATGTTTATATACCTAAACTTAATCACGCCATTTCAGTCTTCAGGGAGCTTAGAGACTGGTGGGAATGAATGAAATAAACAGGCAGTTACAATAGAGATTATTCAGAGCTAAAACCCAAGGTGTGCCATTGAGCAAGAGTTTTAAAGACACCTCTTCAGTTGGCATGGTGTGTAAAAAATGAGTTCCTAAAAGTAACACCTGGATCTTAGAATATGGGAAGAAGTTTGTCACAAAACGAAGGGGAAAATGATTCAAGGTTAGGAAGAACATTGGGATTTTCATTGTTTCTCTAGTTCTATTTTCTCAGTCTTCCAGCATCGAAGCACTGGTCTTCCTTATGTTGGCATTAAAAAACACCATCTTTCTGATGCTCAAATCAGTAACCAGGGCATTACTGCAAATTTCTCTCATTTATTTTCCTTTTTTCAGTTAATACATCTCAACCTTGCAGAATCTACTTCCTTAACCAAAACCAACTAGTTCCCATCACATTGGTTCCAATTCATGGCAGTGACTCCCTGGTCCTCAGAGTAGAATGGCGCTCATAGGGTTTTTTGGAATTAGTAGTAGTAGGTAGCAAAATGTCACAGAGTGAATGACTTTAAAGAGTAAACATTAATGTTCTGAGCATTCTGTTATTGTAGTTGTCAGGTGCCATCGAGTCGGAACCAACTCATAGCGACCCCATGCACAGCAGAATGAAACAATGTCCGATCCTGGGCCAACCTCACTACCGCTACCACACTTGAGTCCATCAATGATGTCACCTGGCCAGTCCATCTCGTTGGGGGTCTTCTTCTTTTTCTCTGACCCTCCATCTTACCAAGCATGATATCCTTCTCCAGCGACTGTTCCCTTCTTACAATATGTCCAAAGTATAAGAGACGAAGATTATCCATCTTGGCCTCCAAGGAGCACTCTGGCTGCACTTCTTCCAAAACAGATTTATTGGTTCTTTTGGCAGCCCATGGCACTTTTAATATTCTTCTCCAACACCACAACTCAAAGGCATCAATTCTTCTATGATCTTCCTTATTCACTGTCCAGCTTTCGCATCCATATGAGATTATTGAAAATACCATGGCTTGGGTCAGGCTACCTTAGTCCTCAAGCTGGCATCTTTGTTCTTCAACACTTTATAAAAAGTTCCTGTGCAGCAGATTTGCCTAATGCAATACGTCGTCTGATCTCTTGACTGCTGCTTCTGTTAATGTTGATAGTTGATCCAAGAAGAATAAAGTCCTTGACAACTTCAATCTTTTTTCCATTGATAGGAATGTTGTTTATTGGTCCAGTGGTGAGGATTTTTGTTTTCTTGACATTGAGATGCAATCCATACTGAAGGCTGTGCTCTTTGATCTTCATCAGTAAATGTTTCAAGTCCTCTTCACTTTCAGCAAGCATTGAAGGAATTGGCAAAGAACAAGGCAACAGGAATTGATGGAATAAAAATTGAAATCTTTCAAGAAAGTGAGGCGGCACAAGAGGCTCTCACTCATCTCTGCCAAGAAATTTGGAAGACTACTATCTGGCCGACTGATTGGAAGAGATCCATATTTGTGCCCATTCCAAAGAAAGGTGACCCAACGGAATGCGGAAATCATCGGACAATCTCTTTGATATCTCAAGCGAGTAAAATTTTGCTAAAAGTAATACAGAAATGGCTACATTGACAGAGCATTCTGGAAAGTCCAAATTAGAATGAGTCCTTCTATGGTCCTCTCTCCTAGTTACCAGTGGCTGCTGAAATCCTTGGTTACTTGGTTACTTGGTATTACTTCCCTGCTTCTAGATGTTGTCCCTGGCATTCCATCTTATGTGCATTCTTTCATATCTGATTTCCTTTTTATGGAGCCACTCAGAAAGGGCCAGGGTTTTAGGATGTCAACACACCTGTTTTGAGGGGACACAGATCAATCCATAGCAGACATGTTACTTGAGGATGTTTGCAGGCAGAGTGAAAGGAAATGTTAATATAGAAGGAAGGACCAGTTGTTCACACGAGACCCTGATGGTATCTCTTAGCATGTATATAGCAGGGATTAGCCATGAGCAGAAGGGAGAGGACCCTTTGAGAAGGCAGGTGATGATGAAGATCATTTGGAGGTGGAAGAGGCAGAAGAAAATGATTGATTTGGAGCCTTTTTATCCCTATTTTCTCTTTGAAAGGGTAGGAGAAGCCAGATGCTGAAGAAGGATAGGACTGTGCATGAGGGTGTGGTGTGGGCCTTAACTGAGATCAGAACTGAATCTTAGTGCCGCCAGTTTTTGGTACTTCTCCATTTGCACTTACAGCTGGGTATAGAAAGCATCAGGGGAGATAAGTTGTAGGGTTTGTTCAAGGTTTTTGTTTTCAAAACAAGTGTGATAAAAGGAAAAGGGGGGTGGGAAGCACAGGGCTTGGGGTTTGGGTGGCAGTCAGCTGTGACATGATGGTGGCAATGTCCTAGCCTGGAAGTGCCATCAGACTATGCTGACCTCAGTCTGGTGCCTGCATCCACCTTCATGCCCATGTTGTCTGGGAATTAGAAGAGGTATGGGAAGCCCACTGGTGCCAGGGAGAACCAAGGATCAGGTAAAGCAGGAGACTGAGACGGTCTCCATGAGGGCTGAGAGAATGTAGTTGAACCTGTACAAGACTCAATCAATGAGCAGGACATAGAGGGCAAGGCCAGAGCAGTAGGTGGGTGAATAACAGACAGAAACAGAGAGAAAACTATGGGAATATGACTGCCAGAGAAGACAGACCAACAGAGGGACTTGTCATTTGGATGAGGCCAAAGACCACAGGAAAAAGTAAACAATCCCAAAGCCATTGCCAGCAAGTGGATTCTGATTCATGGAGAGCCTGGTGTGTTCAAGTAGACCTGCTGCTCCATGATTTTCAGTGCCTCTGGTTAGACTCCAACTACCAACCTCTCAGTTCACAGTCAAATGCTTCACCAATACGAAAGCAGAAATGATTGTATGTGTCAGAACAAGCTGTGATACTCAGACCAATCCCAGCCCCAATATTTGCTTTAGTGGGGGAAGGAATATGCTAATGCCTAGGACAGATTGATGCCCAAGAACTCCCTCCATAGAGGCTCCATGGTCTCAATAGACACATGGTCTGATCGTTCAGGGTGGAACCTCAGGATGTTTTACTCATTACAGTGTCTCTCTCTCCTGTGACATCATTTCTATCCTCTTCTCATTGGCCCTCTCTGTTTTTCTGAAAGTTTTGAATAGACCATCCCACCTTACAAAGTCTTTTCCCTGTGTGTTACCATGGCCCCACACTTTGGGGGTCAGTAAAATCCTCTGGACTCTGTTTTTGTGTTTAGATGGTTGGCCAACCGGTCTTGGGTACCACGCATCATGCCAGCGTGTGTGTGTGGCTAGGGGTAGGCTGAGCCTTCTCCAGAGCTTTCCCAGTATCAAGGAGCCTTGCCTCAGCTTGCAGTGACCCTATGAACTAGGACTGCCAGTCAGCCAGTGCTGCCCAGTCATCATCTTAGCTCCACGTCTTTGTCTCACGCTACCTCCTAGAGATGACCTCCATGTCTCAAGGATCCCAAACACAACCTGTTCCAAGTCTCCTTCCTTCTGCCTCTGCTTCCATGTTTGTATTGAAGCACTGATCCTCCTCGGGTGGCATTTAAAACACTCTCTACCTAGTCTCCAAATCAGAAAACTGAGCGTTGCCCTGGGCTCCTCTCATTTCCTTTTTTTTTTTTTTTTCACACTTAATACATCTCAACCATGCAGAATCTACTTCCTCCAGCTGCCGTCACATCAGTTCCGATTCATTGTGATCCCATGTTCCTCAGAGTAGAATTGAGTTTCACAGGGTTTTCAGTGATTGATGTTTTCTGAAGCATATAGCCAACTTTTTCGTCTGTGGTATCTCTGGGTGGACTTGAACCTTCAACCTTTAGGTTAGAAGTCAAGTCCGGTCACCTTTTGGGTCATGCAGGAAGAATTCCTTTTAGTATCTTTTCTCAATTCAGAAACTGTGGTAGTCTCTGTCATAGAGGTATTGATGATTCTCCTGTAGCACAGTGGTGAAAGTGCTTGACTGCTAACCAGAAGGCTGGTGGTTGGAACTCACTAATCACTCTGCCCGAGAAACATGCAGGAATCTGCTCCTGTCAAGATTTTGTTGTTATTTTTAGGTGCCATCGAGTCAGTGCTGATCCATCGCGACCTTATGCACAGCAGAAAGAAACACTGCCCGATCCTGGGCCAACCTCACTACTGTTGAGTCCATTGGTGTTGTATGTGGCCAATCCATCTCACTGGGGGTCTTCTTTTTTTCTCTCTGACCCTCCACCTTACCAAACATGATATCCTTCTCCAGCGACTGGTTCCTCCTGACAATATGTCCAAAGTATGAGAGGTGAAGTTTGTCCATCTTTGCCTCCAAGAAGCACTCTGGCTGCACTTCTTCCAAAAGTGATCTGTTGGTTCTATGGGCAGCCATGGCACTTTTAGTATTCTCCTCCAACACCATAACTCAAAAGCATCAATTCTTCTATGGTCTTCTTTGTTCATTGTCCAGCTTTCGCATGCATATGAGGTTACTGAAAATACCATGGCTTGGGCCAGGTGCACCTTAGTCCTCAAGCTGACATCTCTGCTCTTCAACACTTTAAAAAGTTCCTGTGCCGCAGATTTGCCTAATGCAATACATCGTTTGATTTCTTGACTGCTGCTTCTGTGAGTGTTGATAGTTGATCCAAGAAGAATGAAGTCCTTGACAACTTCAATCTTTTCTCCATTGATGAGAATGTTGTTTATTGGTCCAGTGGTGAGGATTTTTGTTTTCTTGACATTGAGATATAATCCATACCGAAGGCTGTGCTCTTTGATGAAGATCAGTAAATGTTTTAAGTCCTCTTTACTTTCAGCAAGTAAGGTTGTATCATCTGCATATTGCAGGTTGTTAATGAGTCTTCCTCCAATCCTGATGCCACGATTTTCTTCATATAACCCAGATTCTCAAATTATTTGCTCAGCATACAGGTTGAATAAGTATGGTGAAAGAATACAACCTTGTCACACACCTTTTTTAATTTTAAAATATTCAGTGTTCCCATGTTCTGTTCAAACAACTTCCTTTTGGTCCAGGTACAGATTCCTCACGAGCACAATTAAGTGTTCTGGAATACTCATACTTCACAATGTTGTCCATAGCTTGTCATGATCCACACAATCAAAAAAGCCTTTGCGTAGTCAATAAAGCACAGGTAAACATCTTTCTGATATTCTCTGCTTTCAGCCAAGATCCATTGGACATCAGCAATGATATCACTCATTCCACGGTGTCTTCTGAATATGGCTTGAACCTCTGGAAATTTTCTGTCAATATATACTTGCAGCCGTTTCTGTATTACCTTTAGTGAAACTTTACTCGCATGGGATATCAAAGAGATTGTCTGATGATTTCTGCATTCCATTTGGCCACCTCTCTTTGGAATGGGCACAAATATGGATATCTTCCAATCAGTTGGCCATATAGTTGTCTTCCAAATTTCTTGGCAGAGATGAGTGAGTGCCTCCTGTGCCGCCTCACTTTCTTGAAAGATTTCAATTTGTATTCCATCAATTCCTGGTGTCAAGATATACGTCCTTGGAAATCATGTGGAGCAGCTCTACTCTGTCCTACTGATCACTTCAAGTCAGAAACCACTCAATGGCAGTTGTTTAGGTTGTTAATGCTCACAAGGTAACATCTCAATTTCTTTTATCAAGTAGGGAAGACCATTCAGGAGTTAGCCATAATCTATCTGTATAGAATCATCTCTAACCACATTCTCTCTCTTCCTCAACAATTTACTTTCTACCCTACAATATTACTCAACTACGTATCTTTTTCAGCACACACTGCACACTTGTATGTTCCTCCACTGTTTTGTAAGCTGTACCCTTAGGTTTACAATGACCTCCCTTAATTTCTCTGCCTTTGGGGCACCATTTCTGACTCTCCTGGCCCCAACAACTTGTTCAATGTTCTGATGTTCCTTAGTGCTCCTCTCCATTATAGCAATGGCCACAAGTGCTGTCACTGGCTCACTGATGGCCAAGACCACATCTTATTCCCTCGAGAATCCCCAGCATATGTGGTGCCTACCAATGAGCTGGTGGTGTAGTAGTCATTGAACGAAGTGGGACTATTGTTAGATGCCTCATCGTTCTCTCTGATTCCATCATAAAAAGAGTGGGCATCATGTCATGCATTCTTAGTGACTCTTTTATTAAGTGTTTTCTTTCTAGACTCTGTTCAAGAATAAGAAAGATGAAGACCTCCCAGATAGAATCAAGAGGAGGCTACACCCAGGAGGAGGCTAGAAAGATGAGGGACCTCAATGGGTATTCATGATTTTCAAGATCCATCTTGCATAGTGATGTACTTCTGTGAAGAACCCTTCACTTCCCAGAGTGATGCTGCCCGTCTTCCAGGATAGGATTCCATGCAGCCGCCCACCGCAGATGGCTGGAGCTGCTGAAACTTCCTGCCAAAGAGGGAACCAGAGGTAAAGGGGCTTTAGTCTCAAGGAACATTAGTGGCTGCTTGCAGTATCAGAGAGGCAGCTAAGGGATATAGTCATTCTTCTTGAGAAGTGACAACATTTCTCCATGTCTAGTTGGGTCTCACTTCAAGCTCTACTTAACCTGAGTGCAAGAAAGAGGAGAAAGTACAGATGCTGTGCCAGGTCTCTCCTGCTCTGAATGGGGGATTAATCACTCTTTGGATGAGTGTTGTTATGGACTACATTATGTCCCCCAAAATATGTGCTGCAAGTCCTAAGCCTTCTACCTGTGACTAGATACCCATTTGAGAATAAGGCTTTGTTTGTTCTGTTGATGAGGCTGTAGCCTTTGAGTTGTAAAACCAGTAGATGAGGCATAGAGATGTGAGTTGAAATGGGGGAAGTAGATGCCAGGTCATATATGGATCACCAAGGTACAGAAGCTAGAGAGACAAGGACAATTCCTCCAGAGCTGACAGAGGAGGAAAGGCTTCTACTTAAATGGGGGAAAATGTATGTATGTTTTGCTTGTGAAAGCACCCCCCTGACACACTTGCAATATTTATGTTATGGCAGTTGTGGGTCCTCGTGCAGAGCTGTGGGTTAATGCGCTGGACTGCAAAGTCAGTTTGAACCACAAGGTCGGCTGTTCAAGCTCACACCCACTCCTTGAAAACCCTACACAGGGTCTCTATGGGTCAGAACTGACTTGACGACACTTAAAAACTTAATAACAACAAGACAAGTGTCATTTGGTTTCCTGTAACCCCTTCTCCTCCTCATGCCATCATCCTGTGTGCAGGTAGGACAGTACCTTGACCTTAGTTGAGACCATCTGAGGCCGTCCCACACACATGATGTTCTTTGTGTGTTTTTCGAGGAGTGTCTCCTGGCATTCACTAAAGCTCAAGGAGTGCTGGTTGATCCATGACAAGACGTCAGGATCGCTGACTGTGGAGAGAAGACAAATGAGCCCATTACCTTTCCATGTGCGCTCTCAGGGCCAACCCTGTTACCTACATACAACAATCCTGGAGGATTGTCCCTGAAGTTCTACACTCTGGTATTGAATGTTTTTTGAGATATGGCACCACTGCCTACTTGGTTGTTTTGTTTTTGAGTGTCACACAACTAATGAACCCTGATGACCCAGTGGTAGTTGCTCGGCTGCTCACTCAAAGGTCAGAGGTTGGAACTCACCAGCTGCTTCACATGAAAAAAAGTGGGAGTCTGTTCCCATAAAGATTGACAGCCTTGGCAATGCTCTGGGGCAGCTCTACTCTGTCCTACAGGGTCACTGAATCAGGGTCCACTTGATGGCAATAGTTTGGCATCACATGACCGCATTATTTCTGTTTCTTTGGATTTCAGCTCTTTGTTCCAGCCTTGGTAGTAACTGCTCTATGGTCAAGAACATTATCTCTCACAACTATTTCCTTCCAGGAGGTCCCTCCATATGTTCCCCAGCTCCAGCACCCTCAGGACTAAACCCACAGAGTTATCATTTACAATTTTGATAGTTGTTCCAGGTCCAAGTGGGAATAAAACAGGACTCATTGAAGGACAAGGGCTCGAAGGCTATGGCTATGGTCCCCACATGGTTGTTGATGGCAGCAGGTTTGGACAGCTTGATCAGCATCAGGTCATGCCTCAGAGACTGTGGGTTGAAATCAGGGTAGGGGATGGCCATTGAGTGCTCCCGCTTCTGCTCTTGTCTAGTCGGGTTGCTGGGTTGAGACACTCCCAGTCTGATTTTCTTGCTTCAGGAGGAAGAAGGATTGGAAAGAACAAGGTCACATAAAGTCAGAATTGAGAAATGTCACAGATCACCTTCTCTAATCATCTAACTGTATCTTTTAGACCTCAGAAGCCTAGTATCTGCCCCTGTCTTTAAAGTAATAATAACAGTAATTTGCAGGATTGTTGTACATGATGCAATGAATATAAAAACCCAAGATTGTGTCCCTCAAAAGAGAAAGGTGGAAGTCCTAATGCCCAGAACCTGTCAATACAACCTGGATTGGAAATAGGGTTTCTGAAGATGTTCTCAGTTAACATGAAGTCATATTGGAGAGGAGTGTGTCCTAATTCCATCCAAGATAAAAGAGGAGAAGAGACACAGAGTGAGACTCATAGGAAAGATGCCATATGAAGATAGAGACAGAAATTGTAGTGATGCAGCAGCCGCTGCAAGCCCAGAACCTCCTGGAGCCATAAGAAGCCAGGAGAGACTATGAAGAATCTTCCAACAGAGTAGACAGAGAACACAGCATCCAGTTAACATTCTGATGGAGAACTTCTAGCCTCCATAACTGGGGAAGAATCCATTTCTAGTAGTTTAAGTCAATCAGTTTATGGTACTTTATTACAGCAGCCTATGACATTAAGACAAGTACCAATCACAAATACTTACCACACACAACAGAGACACTGGGATTTGCAAGGGAGCTAATAACTTGCCAGAGTTGCCTTGCCCTTTGGTTTCCGGAATGAAATGACTCTGCAGAACTTCTCAAGCTCATCTTGTGTGTACCTCCCTACTCACTACCTTCAGCCAACTGTTGGCCATATACCTAGATATTTTTACTCATTCAGAGTCTAAACACATATTGTATCTTTTCCTGAAATGTGCCCCTTCCTTAGACTTCCTGTCTCTTTCCCTGGGGCATCTCTTATTCAGAAGGCCTGATCCAGTCACCCCAACGAAAGTTGTTGTTGTTAAGTGTCATCAAGTCATTATGACTCATGGTGACCCTATCTAGAGATGCCAAGGAGCAGCTGGTGAGTTTGAAGGGCTGACCTTGCAGTTCAAAACAACTTTGTGGTCCAGTGCTTACTGCACGTTATAGGTTGCTGTTGTTGTTAGATCCATTAAGTTAGCTCTAATAGTCACAGTGCCCCCATGTACTCACACAACATAACAACACATTGCCAGATTCTGCTTCATTCTCACCATCAATGTTTGAGTCTAGTATTTCAGCCACTGAGTCAATTCCCCTCATTGAAGGTCGTCCTCTTTTTTACCAGCCTTCTACCCTACCAGGAGTCTTAGTGTGGCGCTGCAGGTTAATGCGCTGGACTGCAAGGTCGGTTTGAACTGCAAGGTTGGTGCAGTTGGAAACTCTATAAAGAGTCCCTAGGAATCATAACCAACTGGGTGGCACTTAACAATGACAACAACTTCCCTACCAATCATAATGTCCTTCTCCTGGTGCTGCTTCTTCCTGATAATATGTCCAGAGTACATGAGAAAAAGCATCACCATCCTCCCTTCTGCACGTCTTCTTTATAGTTTATAATCCTTTTTATTTCATTTTTTCATTCTTTTTTTGGGGGGAGGGGGACGTCTTATTTCTTCCACTTGAATATAAGCTTCATGAGAAAAAGCTTCTTTCTGTCTTGCTCCCTCCCTAACTGCATTACTTTCTCAGTACTTTAAACAGTCCCAGTCCTGGCATTTTGAAAATGTTCAGTAAACATTTATTAAATAAATGGGTGGGATTTACTCTCAGTGAGAGACCCCCCTGACACTTTCTAGTGATCATCTCTCAACACCCCATCAGCGCTGCTTGCCCACTGGGAAACTCCTCTTCCTTCCTGGGACTTCTAGTTCCTTTAGGATGCCATGAAAAGCCTGCTGGGAAGTCCAAACTAGCAGCCCAAGAGCAAGGAGAATGATCATCCATCTTGAAGAACAGAACCCATGCCATTGTGCATTCTGTACAGAAATTGGTGAGTGGGAAAGTCAAGTGCTGCTTTATTAAAAACACAATAAAATGTGATTAAAAATAATAACTCTGTTGAGATGACTATTTCTGTTAGAACAGGTCCCTCCCATATTCCAAAGCAAAGAGGTACTTACGGTAAGGGGCAGTGAGCTGCCGTTAGCACCCACTCAGGATGAATGAGACATCCTACACAGGGCTCAGGGATGGACTGCAAGTAAGCCATATAAGGAATCACGAAATTTTGTGGTAACTTCACCTTCTCATCTTGAAAACCATATGCCAGAATTATTACTGGAGAATAGGTCACAGGGAGAGAGAGAGAGAAATGTCAGAGCAGTTTCCAAAACTTGTATTCCGTCCTCCTTCAGGGGTGTTATGGGTAGGAATATGGGTTTGATTTTTTGATTTAACATCTTCAAGGTTAATGGTGGTGGTGGTGGTGTGCGTGGAGTTGGTTCCAACTCATAGCAACCCTGCATAGGGTTTCTGAGGCTGTAAATCTTTATGGGAGCAGAAAACTCCTGTGGAATGGCTGATAGTTTCTAACTGCTAACCTTGAGGTTAGCAGCTTGACTCGTAATCACAATGCTACCAGAGCTCCTAAGGTTAATGGTAGACTCTATTTTTCACTCTTTAATACTGGACTCCTGGTGTGATACTATAAGATCAGCACTGGACCATGAACCTGCCAGCTGCTCCTCAGAAACCCTATACTGACCCTTGGATGTTTGTAAGTATTAAGATATATATTGTTGCTGTTAATGCAATTGAGTCAGTTCTGTCTCATAGTGATCCTGTACAGCGTTTCCAAGGAGCAACTGATGAGTTTAAACTGCTGACCTTGCAGTTCAAATTGACCCTGTGGTCTAGTGCTAATCCTACAGCTCCATGTTAGGACTCCCAAGAGAATCATGGATGTCATATAAAAACTGTTTCCTACGAGTCAATTCTGATTCATAGAGGCCCCATGTGTGCAGAGTAGAACTGTTCGATTGAGTATTCTTGACGTTAGCTTGGCTTGGCCTGTGCCGTGGAGTCGGTTCCGACTCATAGCGACCCTGTACAGGGTTTCCAAGGCTGTAAATCTTTACAGGAACAGAACACCTCATCTTTCTCCTGTGGAGCAGCTGGTAGTTTCAAACTGCTGACCTTGTGGTTCACAGCCCAATTCATAACCATTATGCTTCCAGAGTTCCTTATTCTTGACATTAGTCTTCTGAAAAGCAGATACCCACGTCTTTTCCCCAGGAAGTCTCTGGATAGATTGGAACCTCCAACCTTTTGGATATCAACCACCCCCACAATTGCTGCTCTTACAGGGCTTCTTCCTGAGCTATCTGTCTGAAGGAAATGGACCCAATGCCTCCCTGTTGGAAGTGGAATTGCACTGAAGTGTTAGAACACTAACTCATAGGTCTATCTCAGCTGATGAGAATCTCTTATTGGCAGTATTGTGCATGATAGAGTGAATGATTATTCTAAAGATATGGTCATCTAATACCAGTTCTTCAAAATGTGGGGTTTGGGGATAAAATAGAATAAAACATAGCCTGACTTTGGCAGTTGAAGGAATAGGAAAGCTTGTTTAAGGGCCCTGAGCCGTCCAGACTTCCTGATCATCCACTCACCATCACCATGTACCCAGAGAGAGGAAAGGATAGCTTCCAGGAAAATTGGGATTCTAGGAGCCACATGCTCTGGGGTTGGGAGGGCTTCAATGAGCAGGGACATGTCTAGAGCGTGAATCCTGACTACTCACAGCAGTTGGACATGGAGAGTGCCTTTGTAGGCACAATTCTGAGCAAAGAACAGAGAACAGTTTTTGATTGTTTTTAAGTCAATTTGTTGTAGGATCAGCACTCGATTGCTAACTATAAGGTTGGTGGTTCAAATCCACTATACAAGGTCACTATGAGTCAGAACTGACCTGATGCCACTTAACAAGAACAAAAATACAGGAAACACAACATTTGCCGTTTCAACATTTTCCATGTGTGTACATTTCAGCGAGGCCAGTGTCATCAGCCACCAATATCTATTGCCAAATTTCCCATTCCCATAGACAAAAGCTCAGTGCTTCTTAAACAATGAGCCCATTAACATTTCAGTGTCCTCCACCTCCTATCTCTTTGTGTTATTGTTAAGTGTCATTGAGTTGGTTTCAACTCATAGTGGCCCTGTATAGGGTTTCTGAAGAGCAGCTGGTGGGTTTGAATTGCTGATGCTGTGGTTCAAAATCAAGCGCTGATCCTACAGTGCAACACAAGTAGTCCTCCTATCTTTTTGGTGATGGTGATGTGCCATGGAGTCAGTTCCAACTCATAGCGACCCTGTACAGGGTTTCTGAGGCTGTAAATCTTTATGGAAGCAGAAAGCCTCATCTTTCTCCCATGGAATAGCTAGTAGTTTTGAACTGCTGACCTTATGGTTCACAGCCCAATTCGTAACCACAACGCTACCAGAGCTCCTTTCCTATCTTTTTAGTAGAGGCTATTTCAGGATAGCACCCTTCCAAGTCCAACCTTGGTAGAATCCTTGGTGGAACAAGCCTCCACTCACCAGTCATACCCAGGAGAGTGAAGACCAGACAACACCTCATGGCAGTGGTGACTGACAGGAACACACAAGATTCCCGGTCTTCAGTCCAAGTGTACCTGTCAGGAAGAGCTGGAGAGAAGTATCGATTGGGGGAATGGGTGGGGGAGACACAACAGTCGTACAGCAGCCCCCTATCTAGTCTTTATCGAGACGAGACACAGAAATATCAGCCAAAGAGAGGGTGGTGTGGGCATGGACACACCCTGACTCTCTTCTTAGATCTGGACGTGTCCCCAGACTTTGTATCTCTCTGGGCCATTTCCCTCCCCTCTCTGTGACATAGTTTCTCTGTCACCCCTTCTCCCTTTGTGACTGTCTCCTTTCCTCCCCTGCCATCCCTCTGCCACCTAGACGCATTCACCCAGACTCATACAACAGAGGTGTGAAATACATGTAATATGAGGAGGTGTCAAAAAGTTCATGGAAAAATAGAAGGAAGATAATGGAATTTCTCCATGATCTTTTGGAAGGCCTCTTCTGCCTAATTTTTTTTAAAAAAATGTCTTTCCCCTTCATTTCAGAGATGAGTAAGTAGTGTTGTCATAGGCTGAGTTCAGACTTGGAACTAAGTCTGTAGATGATCCTTGAAAATGCGTATATAAACATACCTTGAAGATATTGCAGATGCGTTCCAGAACACCTGAATGAAGTGAATACAACAGTTAAGCAAATTCTACACATTATGTTTCCCAGGACCTTTAAAAGTTGTATTGACACTAGACTAGTCTATGAAGTGAATAATAGCAGAATGTAAACATTTAAAATATGAGAATGACCAAAATGGAACATAGAGACACCAAATGAACACCAGCTGTTGAACAAATGTTGTCTAAAGATGCTTGACACGAGTTTGCTACAAACCTTCAATTCCAGAAAAATATACTGTGAAGCTCTATCAAGATGTGATAAAGTTTTTTGTCAACTTGGTTGGGCCAGGAGTCTCAGAGATTTGGCAGTTAAGACTTAGTATTTCCTCATGACAAGATCTAATGGAATGGAATCAACTTTATGATGTGTCTACTGATACATGTAGCCAATCAATTAAAAGGAAGTTTCCTTCAGTGTATGTGACCTGCTACCAGTATATTGGACATGCAGCAAAGCTTGCTTGTTTTTTGGCTGGGTCTGAATCCAGCATCTGGCCCATCATCCAACCTCTATTACCTGCTGCTCCTGGGAGTCACCAGCAGTCTGCCATCTTACCTGCCTAACTTACCTGCCTGTCATCTGACCTGCTGATTTTGGATTCCCCATCTCTGCAGCTATGGGAATCAGAAGCTTCCAGCATGACTTACCCAGCTCTGCAATGGTGTGAGCCATTTTCTTAATATAACCTCACTTAAGATATACACAAGTGGACTCCTGGTGTGGTGCAGCAGGTTAATGCACTGGACTTTAAAGTTGGTTTGAACCACAAGATTGGCAGTTCAATCTCACCAGTCACTCCTAGGAAACCCTATAAAGGGTTGCTATGTGTAAGAAGTGACTTTATGGCACATAACAGCAGCATACACATACATACCCAGTGGAGTCTTCATGTGGCAATGAAGACTTGAACAAACTTCACTGGTTTTCTTCACTAGAGAACCCAGCCTAAGGCATTTTGTACTGGGGGTGACTCTAGAGAAATCTAATTTTAAGGATGTGTTTTCTAAATTGGTTCTCAAGTCTAACTCATTTTAACGGCACTGATAACTCTGCTTCCACTAGTAAAGGGGGTGAGGGGGCTGTTAATTCATGGTGTCAGGTGGCAATATTAATATGCAAAATAGATCATGTATTGGAGAGAAGCCAGGCTCTGTGTGATCATCTGTTTGATACTTTATACTTTACTACAATTTTGTCAGGAAAAGAAGTATACAGAAGCTGGTTGGTGAGTCCTACTAACAATAGACCAAGTAGTAAAGGAAAGAGATAAGTTCAGGGCTTTAGAGTCACAGCTTAAGTGCCACACAAAAGACCTCAAAGTTTCCACTTGTGCCCTGAAAGAAAGCCTCATTTCTTGTAATAGCAGAGCTGATATTACTGAAAAACCAAACCCAGAGTCTTATTGAGAGAGCGGAATAATTGCAACATCAGCTGAATTCTGAACTTGGAATGAGGACATTGATTGGGAAGCAATGGTATCTTGAAACTTGGAATGGGACATACAGGCAGATAATCAAAACACTGGGGACATTTGTTGTTAGTTGAATCAGTTCTGACTCACAGAAACCCTATACAGGGTTTCCAAGGTGGGTTTGAACCACCAACCTTTCAGTTAAGCAGTTCAATGCTAACCTTTCAGTTAGCAGTTCAAGTCTTCATTACCACATGAAGAATCAACTGGGTACAACTTGGTATTGTATTAAGTGATGTTGAGTCTTTTCCGATTTATAGCAACCCTGTTTAGGGTTTCTGAAGAGCCATTAATGGAGATGCTATGCAGGGTCACCGTAAGTCGGAACCAACAGAACTGCACTTAGCAAAAGCAAAAAGAACGTGTCCCCAGTGAGTCCTCCTTTACCGCCTCATTGCTTCCATTTGCTTTAGCGTCTCTATTCTGGAAAGCAAGTTTCAAAGTCTCTTCTGGTGTCTATTTTGATCTTTTCCTTCTTTCCTATTTTCTTAATGACCTTTTGCTTTCTTCCTGTATGATATTCTTGA